CTGCAAGTAATTTCAAAGGCTGGGTGTATCCAACTTCGAACAACGTCGAAAAGGGAATGAGGACGTTTGTTAGGGAGACGGTTCGCACGTGGCGCCTTGGGTCGGACTGTTCCATTATTTTCGAAGGGATGTTCCGTTTTGGGAACAATGGCAATTAGTCGGTTATCCAGGTAAGTATTCACGAAATAGACTACCAACATCACGATTGATTTGTGTAATCTCATTTATTTCCAAGTTTTTTGTCAAACACACTGAGAGTCAGCTTTGGTAGCCATGTTTTTCAAGCAAAGGAGTTTCATCCAAAAGAGAGTGTGCGCTATTTTATACTTGCATTTCGTTCTGCTAGCTGAAACACAAAGAGAGTGGATGGAGCAATGGATTTCATGAACGGTTTGGTACACACATAGTGGCTACAACCAGTTTAGTCAACTGGAAGCTGCTCTATCTGACACCTATTAATGACAAAATTTGATTGATATATATGTTTTTTGTTGATAAGTTTAATAGCATCTCTATTTGTTTCTTCAATGATACTCCTATCTATATTATTAAATTATATTTATTTCTTAGTATTGTTAAATGAGCTTTTTTCCCAAGAAACTATAAAACTTCCTAATTAATGTTTCCCTTCAGTTTACAACCTTCATTATGAATATATTAACTAAGCATTGGTTGGTAGATATACATTTACTATTCTGCAGATTGGGTTAATAAAAGCAGACTATGTTTTCTCAGCATTCTGATCGGTTATTTTGACAGTGCTAATTTATCTGTTGCTGCTGTTCAGTTTATGTTTAATTAATATTTAGAGAAAAATAGTTGGTGCCCCTCATGTTTAAAATCTCTCAGATCACTGTTGCTGTTAGATAAAAAATATTTCGGTCTGCTAGCTGAAACACAATGAGAGTGGATGGAGCAATGGATTTCATGAACGGTTTGGTACACACATAGTGGCTACAACCAGTTTAGTCAACTGAGCTAAAGCTGCTCTATCTGATACCTATTAATGACAAAATTTGATTGATACATATGTTTTTTGTTGATAAGTTTAATAGCATCTCTATTTGTTTCTTCAATGATACTCCTATCTATATTATTAAATTATATTTATTTCTTAGTATTGTTAAATGAGCTTTTTTCCAAGAAACTAAAAAACTTCCTAATTACTGTTTCCCTTCAGTTTACAACCTTCAAAGTATACATTATGAATATATTAACTAAGCATTGGTTGGTAGATATACGTTTATATTCTGCAGATTGGGTTAATAAAAGCAGACTATTTTTTCTCAGCATTCTGATTGGTTATTTTGACAGTGCTAATTTATCTGTTGCTGCTGTTCAGTTTATGTTTAATTAATATTTAGAGAAAAATAGTTGGTGTCCCTCATGTTTAAAATCTCTCAGATCCCTGTTGCTGTTAGATAAAAATATGATATTAACATTTTTTCAAAATTGCTCATTCAAAAATCATCAACTATAATTAAACATCGATAGAAACATGTAGTTGTTGCTAATTTACAGACATTTTGCTGCAAATGTCTTTGCATTGATTACCACAATGTGAAGAATATTAGAACAGTATTATTTTATGTGTCGGATTATGCGACTGTTAATTAGAACATATTTTCTTTTAGTAATTTTAACTTAAAAGTATTAACTTTATAAAAACCCAAATGTTTGCCTCTATATTCTTTTTCGTAACCCTTGCCTTGAAAACTAAATAATTTGCAGTTGACTTGCGTATTCTCGGTTTGAATTTAAAATCTTGTTTTTGCAATGTGGTAAATCTAAAATTAAATATTTAAAAAGACCAATGTTAAGTCGCATTGACGGAGCTTTTAGATCTTTGATTAATAGATTGGTAAGGTTGTAAGAATAGCTTTATTTTTATATGAAGAAAACAAAAAAATAAAAATAAAAAGAAGTTTGTACCATAGGTGGTAAGGTTTACCTAGTGAGGCTAATGGTGGTCGAGATAAGCAAAACATCTTTAAGTAAAATTGTAATAGTGAATGATGTCATGATATTTCTTGCATTAAGATTTGTATTACTTTGACCTTCGAAGGTTGGCATTTAGAAAGCTGCATCTTGTATTGACGTAAAAGCCACTATTGAAAATGCCAATCTTCTAGTGCTTCTAGCAGAAGCATCTCATTTACTATACACTCTTCTCAATTCTCTGTTTTTGCAAACCAACAAATCAGAACTTCTAGGATTCTAATGCGAAATTAAACCTTTATATGAATATAAAAAGGGATGGGTTATTTCATGTTTAATGAGGACAAATAAATAAAGTATTATTATTATTATTCTGTGGATGTGAATCATTCCTGGGTGTGAAGTACTTCTGAAGTAAAAAACGTATATGTTGACATTATAAACATAAAAATGTTTTAATTCAAATATTTTAAGCACTCCTGTGCTCTTCCTCAGCAATAACACGTATGATTAAAAAAGTCTTAGAATCCAGCAAACAAGAATAAACAATTAAAGCATTGACTGCAATGGATCGTTAATGATACGTAATTAAAGGCGGAGTATATTTGGCAGCAACAACAATGAAGATAAAGATAAATAAACAGAGCTAATCTGCCCGCTATAGGCCAGCATGATCTTGGTTGCTAAAGAAAAATGAATGTGATAATTTCTTAATGAACTAACTAATTAATAAAAGTGTAATCTTTGAGAAATCCTAAGTCTTTATTGATGCCATTTTTGTGTGTGTTTAATTTGATTATCTATTTTA